AATTTAAAAAGATCCTGACTCTAAGGCTTAGTTGAGAGACTAGCCAAGATTAACAAAGATGAACCCTTTTGCATTTTCATAGACAGCAATGCCCACAGCAAGGAAACTGCGGCTTTCTAAACCTGTGCTCCCAGCTGCTTGTTTGCGACGACCCTCGAGGAGTGTGAAGTTTAAACACTTATGCAATTTTGGATGAAAATTCGATATTTTCTGGCAAATTAAAATTGATGTACTTGTAAAGCATTGATTCTTTTGATAAGTTGTATGCCTGCGTAATCCTTCAACATCACGTAGGCGTGCTCGGCAACGGCCGTGTCCAGACGATTAAGGGCCACCTCAGCAAGCAGTGCCCATAGCTTCGGATGATTATTTTTTTCAATAAAAGCTGTTGCTTCTTGGATTTTCATTTTTTCGAGTAAATTTTTCGCATCGCGAAGTGACTGAAAATAGCTGGAATATGATCAAATCCAATTTCCAAGTCATTACTTGCAATTTTCTGCTTGTCCTTTCACTCAGAATGGAGGAAAATGTGTCGCTTCTATGCAAAAAGAAAGCCCCACGATAAAACAAGCCGTTCTAAATGAAAAAGTTTGTACCACCCTTTAACGCGTGCCCTTCACAGCTCCCTCTTTTTCCAAGATTTCTTAAAAGAAATTAAGCCAACGAACCAAACATTTGTGAGCTTTTTTGCAGGCTAACCCTAGGATTATTAATTTTCGAAGAATCATCAGTTGTTCCATTTTTCCAATGGTTACACCTTGTGCAAAGTGGGGTGAGGAAGATATCTGGCTGTTTACACTAAATAATATTTTTCCTGTTAATTTTGGGCAGTCGAGAATCGAAGGCTCTGACATCGGTTGCTTCGCTGCAACTCGTTAAAGCAAGATCCCCATACCAGTAGCGCGGTAATCCTTGCATTTGAAAAAAACTCTTCCGCCTTCCATTTTCTAGCAAAACGCAACTAACCTTGATTTCTACATCAATGATAAACGATGTCTGAGGGGTTTCAGGATTTTTCATAATTTCATCCAGAAGAACCGTGCGTACGACCAGATTTTTAAACGAACAAATGTAGCCCGAGTTAACAATGGGTTCCTCAGCTTCCGTGTTCCTTATCACGTACATGCGTGTTTTCTCCATCACTGCCAATGTGTCGTCCTTTTCCTGAACACCGATTAAAAGTACAAAATTTCTGAGCACAGCGATGCGTTCAGCTTTCATTCTTGGATTACCCCTGACTGCATGGGTGCCATTTTATTGCACGGTCTCCACTGCATCATCATTTCTTTGTCTAGACTGACATACGGCCGATGACTTTCAGTGAACGTAATCCACCAGCACTGTCGTAATCCACCCATACATTAATCCACCAACGTAATCCACCTATACACTGGCTACCATAGCTCCACAGAAGCAGGTGTCCGAAGGTAAGTGACCAGTGGTGCTGGCAATGAGACTGTAAACGTCGAAATATTGCATCTGAGTATAGCGTGCACCAAAACACAGCTCACGACCAACCGTACCAAAAAGCTTTACTGTATAGAAATTTCTATGTTCACTCGCGAGTACAAATGATTATTTCAGTTCGCACATCAAATTTGCGTCAATAGTTGATCCAGGAATGTGGAGCAAAGCAGCAAGATCACTTATTTTAAATATCCAAACTGATAGCCCGAGCTGTCTTGTCTTCTTGCTCTTGACAACTGTTCCTGATAAAATGCGTCATAGGTATAACGCCTTTTGACGACTTTGGTATTATTCATCTTACTTCCTATCGGTGGTATCTACACTTTTCTGCCCGGATTGTTTTTTAGGCATGCTATGAACAGAAGACCAATGCCGGGAATAAACATTAACTTACAGCATCCCATTTAATGTTCCAGACATCTTTACGTTCAAAGTTCAGTGGTTTGACAGCACTGTCCAGCAACTCGAATAACTTCAGTCCCTGGGAACTTAGCATCGCTATTCTCGTCCCATTACAACTTAATTCCAATTTATCGACGCGACAACCCAGATTCACTGTTGCTTGCAGATTCGCTGTCGGAAGCGAATAGCGACGGGCTGTTCCGGACTCAAGGCACTAGAATCATAACAGACTAGAAGAGGCAGTACAAAAAGTTGAAGGTCGTGACTCTCAAAAAATCAAGTTGTGAATTAGAAATTTTACTAATGCTTTGTCAATGGGCAGTTGCTGTTGGCACGGTGTGGTCGTCCTGATAAATCGCGATACCTAATTCCTTTATGGAGGGTAAATTACGAAAGCTTTTTTTTT